GACAAGGCAACACAAGATATATTGTACAGGCGCATTGGCGCTCAGAAGGAGTACACAGGCGCATTGGCGCCTAGGAGACAAGAAAAACAAAAGAGAGGTGCATCTACTTAAGGGAGTCGTTGATCTGCCTCTCCAATTCAGCCCACGCGTTGGACATGGCGAAAAACTTGTTGGAATAGTTGAGGAGATCCGCCTGTTGGGCGCACGCATACTGGCGCATCTGGAGAGTGGAAGTGCGCAAGTGCGCATTTTCCTCCTTCAAACGCGCAGATTCCGCGCGCGCCTCTTTCAACTCCACCGCTGGATCCTTGAACTTGTCCTTTCCCTTAGGCGCAGAACCAGACGCCAAAGGACCAACGGCGCACACAGGAATATCGCACGAGGCGCGCACGACCTTCTCCTCCACAGAGCGCTCTCCAACAATCTCCACATCCATCCCCGACTCCTCGGATTCTTCTTCATCCTCAACCGCAATAGAGGAAGCGTTTTCCTTTGCAGACTCTGCGATAGGGCGCTTGGGCATCGGTTTGCGCGGGTGCGCCTTAGGCGCATCAGTAAGGTTGCGCTTAGCTAATCCACAGCAGTCAGTGGCGCGCGCCAATAATAAGACAAGAGGCGCGACTTACAGAAAGTGCAAGCGCGCTTGGACACATCGCAAGGAGGGCACCGGCGACCAGGCGCGCCTCCACAGTCAATGTCCTTGGCAATGCAGGTGCCACAGCGCCGCGCCTTGTTCACAGACATGTGCCCGGCGCGCAGCTAGCGCAACCAAACATGTTAATAGAGTGGCATGCCAACAGGAAACAGAAGGCGCACCTTCTTGCTGGCATCAGTACCAGACGCGTCAGTGGCGCGCGCCTCGATTTCGGACGCACCAGTGGCGCGCGCAGCTTGCATGGGAGGTGTCTGAGGAACTGACGCAATCGCCTTCGCCTTCCAATCCTTCACGACCACCTCAATCTCCTTACAACTCTTCCGCCCCTGCTTTAACAACTCCGCGCTTTTGTCGTCCATCTCCAGCGCCACCGCCAACACACCCGCGCGCGTAGAACAACCGTTCAGAGTAGCCTAGGAGTGTCAGTCCACAACCAAGACCAATACATGTAAGTGCACTCACCAGTACTGAATACCACTCGCGCAACCACATCTCTTGATCCTCGAGGAGTTCCAGCTTGAGTTCAGGCACGGACATCACGCATCCTTCCAGGGAGACTAGGATGGAGGCCCAAGCGGTGAAGAGGCAGTCAGTATCGGATTCCGCGCTAGCGTCACCCATAGGCACGTCCTCAGGAAGCCCTTGCGCCACTGGAACAGGCTCAGGGGAAGGAGTAGAGTTCAACATAGCAACAGTGAAAGTAGGCATGGTGAAAGATTGATAACAAAGAAGTCAAGAGATCGCGAGAACGCGTCCATCTTCTTATCAACATCTCCTCCGATTACATCATTGATGCTCGCGATCATCAAAGGACGGCCCTACTCTCGCGATCACCTGATCCCTGTCTATCACCACCTCTCTAAGTCCAAGATCCCGCGCTATAGCACTGAGTGGGGACACTCAGAATGTAAGTCCCCAGGAGATGTAGAGACTCGCGCGTCTCAATGCCGAATATACGGCCTTTACCCATACATTCCTATATGTTACAGCTCTACTCCTAAGTACCAGTCTCGCGCGCACTCGCGCGCGCCTTATCCGAACTCGCGCGCACTTAGGCGCGCCTTACCTACACACACGCTATATGCGCGCTTTGCGCACCTCCTCATAGGTCTTCGCGCTATCGTCCGTCCATCTGTCCCATGTCCTTACTGATTCGCTGGTGCATTATTTCTATCTTATCCATTGAACTAATAAAATCTTCGGTCCGACATCTGCGCTACTTATAGAAAGTTTATTTAAACTTAGTTATAATTAGAGTTGATATGGTTACTCGGTTCGGGAGCGTGCTCGGAAGTGCGCCATCTCCATTCTTAAATACAGAAGGGTTTCCTTTGGTTCTGGGACTTACTTTCCCCTTATCTTTGTGTACTGGAAAGTGTATAGATCACCTCCTCACTTGTTATAAGATCTTATTCTCCTGTCAATCATCCATCTGGGCATTCACTCCTCAATAGGACCTTTCCCTTAACGCTCAAGGCGCGCCTTCGCTTCGCGCGTGCGCATTCTCGAACCTCCCGCTCACGCGCGCATCTCGCACGCCTTTGCCTCGCGTACACAAGCCTTCGCGCGCGTTATCTTCTTGCGCCTGTTAGCGCCCGCCTAGCTCATAGAGTTTCCCTCCACTTTATTTCGAGGAACTTCTCTCAGTGGTTGTCCCTTGGGTCGAGTCGTTGTCTCGTATCCCGGTCTTGCTGTTGAGCACCCTTTTGTTTTAAGTGTTTTCACGTCTAGTCAAGATTCCTCATCTACACCGCCATGATTGTGGCACTGCTAGCTGTGTATACTAAGCGTGCTCGAAGACGTTTCATCAGTTTCTCGAACTTGGATCCATCGGTCCGGGCCGCGTTGAGGTCGTCCCACGACGTGCCTACCATATATAGGCAAACTGGCACAGCCACATTAGAGGTAAGTATTGCATAATCTATTTGACGTGCTTACCATTGGTGATGAAATCGATGAGACATCCGCTACGATCGAATGTGTTGACAACCAGCTGAGTGTTGGCCGACATGTCGCTTTGAGATTCGGATGTGGTAAGAGTACTCATTGAAAAATCAATTGTTTTCACATTTCTTATATACTAGCGGACATACTTTATCAACATATGACTATATTTAATTATATAATAGAACATGCCAATCTACAGTTCTCTCGAGAACATCCCTAAAACCGCCCCTTCGGACTGTTTTGCGCCAGAAGGGCGGTTTCAGTGACCCTCTGGTTCTCTCGATCGAGCTTCTTCCTTAGTATCTCCGCGCACCATATCGGATTCCGATGAAATCTCGCTGTGATCACATGAAAATCCCCCAGCTGTGAGGATATTCCCAGTGGTATTGGCTTAAACATTTCCACATTCTCTACGAATCATCCTCGTCACATCAATGCATCATATATCATCGGGATTTCAGCTGTTCATGTACTGTTTTGCCGTACTACACAACTGGTATCCTCGACCTGGTGTGACAGACACCATAAATGCTACACTCCAGCTGGCGAGCAGATGTATGTCCACCAATTCACATCTTGACTTCTCGGTGCCACAAGAAGCCAGTGGGATGGCCCATGGGCCACAATGTCTTCACCGAGCTTCGCAATTTCTTGGAGTCCCTTGCCACTATCAATCCTCTCAAATACCCTTCACTCCGCCACCTTCCACACCACCTACAACCAGATACTTATCTTCGTCACCTCCAAACACCATTCCCCGGACATGAATTAGCCCTGTACGCACTTCGTTCACAAGCTCTGGCTGACCCTCTCTGGCAGCAAGAGAGAATATTGCAATCGTGTAACCCTCTGAATGAGGGTCATTTCTGTTCGGTGTGTAGATGAATGTTTCAGGGAAGGATGTGTTGGGTTTGGGTAGTAGAATTTCCGCTGCGAACATGGTATCCGGTATCGGTAATGCAGAAAGTGTGAACAGAGAAGTAAGACGAGCAGGGGGCACCGGAAGCAGCGGGAAGGTATGTACAGCAAGCTTTGAGGTGAGCTCCAGTAGTGTGTAAAGGGTATTTCCTGTTATGATAATCAACAAAGTTTTAAGAGTAGAGGTTAGTGACACACCTCGAGCTGTGATATGTCGTGGGCCACCCCCTGCTTCAAAGTCAATGTGATCGCGAATGGACCACTTGCCATCATTCCGTTCAGTGAGTCTCCAGACCTTGTCTGTACCTAAATCTGGGACAAGGAGCTCTTGCTCCGTTTGGTTCAGTGGATTGAGGATGATTTGATGGGGGTGAGATGAAGATTGACGAGTTTTGTCCAACCTACAAGCTCAAATGGCATCAAAAGCGTCCATGGGTGTGGTAAGAGTATGTAAGGGGGCGAATGTTGATATCGGAAGGGTCACGATTGTGCCCGAGGTGTACTAGATGCAGACGCGGATGCAAGAAAGGGAACATTAGAATAGGTAGAGCTGACTTTTTGGGGACTTACATTTCGAATGATAAGCTCGTCCTCTGCGACAAGAAGGCTGCAAGGGTCTGCACCACCACTCTTGGCCCTGGCCACCACTTCTCCTTCTTCGACGGTTCCACTCCAGCCATACTTGATCGCGGCAACCTCTCCATCTGCCTGTTCAAGCCCTGTATATATGAGGAATTTATTGGACGGATGAGATGTGATCCATGACGGATGGTGGCCGACGATTGTTCGGGCCAGAAGATTAAGAGTCGGAGATCCTGTCGACGGTACTGGATCAAAGGACAATGTGTGGATGGAGTCAGTGTATGAACGACAAAGATCGTGAGTGGTGCCATGCATGTTGTCTCGTTTACAGGTAGATCGTTGATAAAGAGGACTGTGGGATTTCGTGTTTCACCAACATGATATACGGTGGGACAATGTTCGGAGGCTGACATTGATTGAATTGTCCCCATGCCCAGATCTGCAGACCCAGTGAAAGTCGGACGCATGGGTTTCAACCCACAGCAACGCACATATACTGTGGTTGTCGTTGACGGGGTAGGTGACGAGTAATAGGACGGGAATGGCCAACGGTCACCGGTTCACTTATAGTAGTTGTTCTTTGCTATGTAGCAGCACGCAAATAGTATAAGGGGAGAAATTTGAAAATTACAAAGACTTAGTGGGGCTGCAAAGAGAGACGGTTGACACTTTTACATAATATTCGCACGAGTTTACCAGTGCGCTTATTGCGCCTACTTACCAGTGAGCCACCGTCAAAGGCATTCTTCCCAGTCTGAGTCGAACACGGTGTCCACAGCCACCTATCATTATGAAGCTAAAATCACTGATATGAATGTCCCAGATCAGTTCGGCAACTAGCGCATTTGGAATGCATCGAGCATGTATCATGGACTATTGACGATGCAAGCTGGTCATGTCCTAGGAAAAGCTCTAAAGATGAAATTTAAAGGACTCGACATGGACTACACATTACGCCACAATGAAACTACCTCTAGCAAATGAACGGTCTCCCAACTTGGCTATTGGCGTAGGCTTCAGCAATGAGCTATCATCAATATTAATCAGATGAGTGTCGGATGCGAAGACACGAACACTGACCTTTATCGACACATAAGTCCCAGCGACACAGATGAAAATGCCGGAAATTATAGTCAACACTGCGAGTGTTGTCCCGATTGGTCGTCATTTGAGCCCGTCCATGCCACCCTCGAGATGATATGCGTCATGCAACCAGAAGAATCCGGCCAAACCATACATGTACCATGCGGCAGAGGGCTGCCATGATGCCGATTAGGTAGGAAAATATCGGAACTGCGATGGCAAGAATTACAGCCATAGCTGAGCCTGCAAAACACAGCAGAGTCCAAACCATCCAACCGAGTAAGGTATGCGAATGGACGTACTCTGAATGACGAAATATTCGAACAAACACAAGCTTTGTAGCTGTATAAGTGTATAACCCGGAATAGAGAAATAGTGAGGACTAGACCAAACAGCAAGGCATCACTGACAACAGAAAATTTGGGAGAGCAATGGCAAACACTGCCTTTGCCCATACCGGAGGAAGAGAAAAGAGGACCAGGGACTGGACTGTGTTTCCAATGTAGACATACATGACTCCACTGAAAACAACATAGAATACTGTAGCGAAGTCCTGTAGACACCATGCTGCCTGAAAATGGCCTTCAGTCACAACATCGAGTACAGGAGTGTCCTCGGGTTTACGCATCTCAGATACCAGAATAAAGAACCTGTTGTAGGTCAGTTTCAGAATATCGTGCCCAAAAAGTCATACATGAAGTGTCCTAGTAAAGTATTTAGGAACGTTGATTAACATCGCAAAATTCCGTACCTGCATATGCAAAAACCTAATGAGCAGATAAGCAACGCAAGTTACTCGAAGACATAAGAAGGTACCCACAGGATTTGGAGGCAGTTACGGTCGACAGTCCAGGAACTGGGTTCAGCCCTGCTCCAATCATTAATATTGCAATGAAACCAGCTATGGCAATGACTGCTGCACTAAGAAGATCCATCCATGCCAAACGATCCAGTGTCCGCGGTAGCGAAATTAAGAAAGCAATTAATGGTGCCAGTGATGATAACCAGATACATACTACACATGCCCTGATTCGAAAGCGTTGACAGTGCCTGCTGGCTGGAAAGTAGTCCAAAGCCCTGTTTGAGATAATTCAATTGCGACATATTAATATTCCAGTTAACTCGGTGACACACCGAACCAAACACAGTGAAAGAAACAGTTCCGAAGGCAAGCACTTCCCGAGCCACAGGTCCGAACATAATGTATCAGCATTGCCTAGAGTATCTTAGGTGTTTGAAAATCACCGACGACAGAATTTATTATCCATAGTATGCACATTAGGATGATTCCACGTCGATGAGCAACTTGGTGGTGTCCACAATCCCTCCGTGAAGTCCACCTCGACGTTCGACACGGCGTCAGTAAAATGTCGGATCTCGTTCCTAATCGAAAGTTGAGGGAAGATCATGAAAGCGCCACAACCTCAGTCGTAATGTCCCCTGAAGGACAATGAATGATCACCGGCTCGTACGACAGGATGCTTCGTCTGTGGGACTTGACGACAGGCATTATATTGAAGAAGATGGAGGGGAATTGCCATAAAGTGCGGCCATTGGCGGTATCATGAGATGGGCAATTGATAGCAAGCGGTGGTGAATCATCATCTGGCATGGAGAAGTGGGGAGTATCTCGTCCAAGTAATATTAATGATGGTCGCTGCAACATGGCAGATGCAAAGAAGTTCAGTACTTGGGTCAACTGTGTTCGGTATTCGCCATCCGGCAAACTTCTTGCCATCATGGCAAATAGCAAACTCAATTCGGACACGAAGGAATGTGTCGCAGACATGCTAGACATTAAATTTTAAATATGGGAACAGAGCAGACCTGAAGACAACGACTTGAATTTACTCGCATGGACACCCGCCTTCTCTTGACGTGCTATCGCCTTGAATACAGGAGTGTGATACATCTGCATCAATGTTAACCTGGAAGGAGGTCGGTAATGATGACGCTAATTCAGAGGTATGTTTTCATTAATGACTCTAGAAGCGCTGCTTCTCCAGTTCTTCATCACACACCGGCGGTTTTGGAGTTTTGCACTATGCAAGATTTGTTTTGAAATGTTAGTGATAAAGTTGGCATTCTTACTATACATTTTGACGCAGTAAAAATGAAAAAATTGGATGAGTGGCCAAATCCTAGGCAAAATTCTACATTTTATGAATCATTTTGACGTTGTCAAAGAAAGACATTTAACCGACAGCAAGATCTGAAGAAAAATGATCGAACATTTTGATTCAAATCTTACATGGGGGTAAAACTCCTTTCCAACAGGTAAAATGTGTTTTAAAATTTTTATTTCAAATTTTTCTCAAATCTCACCCCATGTAAGATTTGAATCAAAATGTTCGATCATTTTTCTTCAGATCTTGCTGTCGGTTAAATGTCTTTCTTTTACAACGTCAAAATGATTCATAAAATGTAGAATTTTGCCTAGGATTTGGCCACTCATCCAATTTTTTTCATTTTTACTGCGTCAAAATGTATAGTAAGAATGCCAACTTTATCACTAACATTTCAAAACAAATCTTGCATAGTGCAAAACTCCAAAACCGCTGGTGTGTCACCAATATAGCCACTCGCAGGAAAATGGCCTGGATAGAAGCACCTCCGAGCGGTGTTTAAACTCCGCTCGATGTTTTGAACGGCCATTGTCAGAAATTTCCGAAAGTGGTTGCAATGACGTGATGTTGACACGCTGTTTGCATGCCATTGAAATCAATTGAAATGCCTCCTGAAATGATAAGGTAATCTGATGGCTGAGTTTCAATATATTGCAAGTCCTTTGTAACGTTAGATCATAGCTGTTATCAGCGCCTGCAGTACACTCTTCGCGTTCTAGCGCATTCCTTGCTCTATTTCCCCACCTTAACTCTGTTTACATACCGCTGTACAATACTGTCAACTACATGGGTCCAGAGCGCACAAAGTATTGTAATTTATGCGACCAGGATATCAAGCCATGAGGATGGACCACCCACCACAAAGCTTGCGAGACGAAGGCAGCCAAAAGACAGTGGGATCAGGTGGTTGTAGATGCGATTCGCAAGGAGAAAGGTGCGTCTGTTTTATCTTTGTCTTAATGTATCGTCGAAGCTAATTGTATCAAAATACAGCATCAGATTCGTCATCGAGACTCGACAAACCTCAATCAGCTATTCGTATCATCCCTGTACCAAGTATGTCATAGTATTTTGTTTTTGTTATGCTATCTACGGCGCTCACAAACTCACAGTTGAAACGCAAAATCACGCAGAATTCCTCGATGTGGACTTCGGTCATGATGATCCAGTGACCGGTCCAGGTGAGTTGTCAACACTTAATTGTTTTCGTTGATCTCACTAACACTTGGGCCGTGTACCCTATTCAATACAGGCCCTTCTGCACTTAATGAACTGGAAGTTGTGGCTGCAGTCCCCACCTTCAATCAAGACGACATCAAGATCGAGTATCATCCAAGTAGCGGCATCGAGGCCAAGGTATACGTCTTTGATAGCTTTGAGCGTTGTGCCTCAGAATTCCTTGCCCCCCCACCTGATGGCCAACCTTGGCGTCCGTTCAAATCTCGGCTCGAATTCGAAATTGCCGAGATCATGCTCGAGGTCGGCTTTAACAACCAACAATCTGATCGGTTCATCAAGCTATGTCACCGCTGTGCTGTGGGCAAGGAGAAGTTCACGTTCAAAAACCACAAGGATATCCACAACATGTGGGAGGCAGCCTCACACCGCATTACAAAGGTGATATATCCTACTTCTACTTTAAATGAGTCTGACAAAGTATTATGAAGTATAGTTTACGAAGGAAGTGATCTCGATCCCGTTTGCTGGAGATGAGGAACTACGGGAATACGACGTACATTACCGAGACCTTTGGGAGTTGGCTGCCGATATGCTTCGGAATCCCCGCCTCTTTCCATACTTCACGTTTGATGCACACCACCTGTCGAAGTTTGATGGTAATGCATTTGTTTCTTTTGTTGATGAGCCTTTCACTGCGCGAGATATTTGGGATGTGCAAGTATGTGACGATACTTTGTAGTTATTTATTGTGTCCTTATTTCAATGTATCATTACTTTGCAGTTGCAACTCCCTCCAGGTGCGAAGCCACTGGCATATATACTCTACGCGGATAAGACGAAACTCTCCTCCTTCGGTACCGCAAAAGGGTATCCGGTCTACGCTCGTTTAGCAAACTTACCGACTGCAATTCGAAACGGGCGAGGTACAGGTGGCGGGTATGTGGTGGGATGGCTGCCGATTGTGCAGTTTCCTTTAGTGACTCGCTGTTAGTGCTGCTGATGCAGTTTACATAGGTCAAGGACGAAAAATTACACTCCGGAAAGCCCAGCTGGGTAGACTTTAAAAATACTGTCTGGCACAAGTCATTTGCCAGGATTATCTCTTCGTTAGCCTCAAAATCGCAAACGGGGCAGTGGTTCGAATGTCTAGACGGTATCACGCGCTGGTTCTTTCTCTGTATCCTCATTCTATCAGCTGATTTTGAAGAACAGTGAGTATTTATTTCGTTATTACAGTTGTGAATAGCTTAATGGTATCATTACAAGATCTGTCATGTCGCTTACTCAAGGAATCATGAGTCTTTGGCCATGCCCCATTTGTTTAGTTCCCCGAGACGACCTGTGGGACACTTCAAAATCATATCATCGGCGAACATCGAATGAGTCGCAAGCAGTTATAAATGCTGCGCGTGTGAAAGACACCTTCGAAGAAAGAGAGGAACTTTTGAAAGAACAAGCACTTCGTTTGATTGATGTGAGTGAGTATTTCTACATGTCAATATTAAAGATTCATTGTCTTAATTTATTAGAATGCATTCTGGGCAGTAGCATTCACCTGCGTGTTTCGAGCATTGTCACATGACCATTGTCATTTCAATCATGGTGGGCTCTGGTCACGCCATCTCTGGGTTGAACTGCAGAAATACGTTGTAACTCTCGGAAGGGGAAAAGTATCGCAAGTTGACAATCAGTTTGTGTTACGCACTCAAATAGATCTGTTATGCGGAGCCCTAAGAGGGGCGTCGTCCGCTAATGTTCGTGACGTAACCGGAAGGGTCCGGTGTAGCGACTGAGACTGGCGACGTCGAGTCGGCAGATATCAGAGACGCGCGTGTCACGTGACTTCTAAGACGAATGTCTTCAAAGTCACTGACGTTCTCAAAGTAAGGACAGTCTTGTCCGAACGATGAGTAGTCGATCGAGGTAGACTTAGGCGCGATGAGCACCTAAGAAAAAGATACTAGAGACTGAAGCTGAGGGGGCTTCAGAGGGAAGTATGTTCGAGGGAAGATTGAGTAGATTCAAGTTAGGGAATCTAGTACAGAGTGACCGACTACTTATACTAAGTGGAAAGGGTTAAGGGCAAGGCTACCGTACTGTAGGTAAGGGCAAAGGGGAAACGGAAAGGGTATAGGTACGCTGGTAGCAGAGCCTGATTAGTGATGTAAGGTCGAATGCGGAATGAGACCGAGAAACATTGGAACGAGCCAACGGTAAATGATACAATGTGCAGCAAGCACGAGTCAAAGGAAAGATAAGACAAGATAAGGAAAGCCACATTGGTGGCACGAGTCAGAACGAGTCATAGCCCGAAGGCACGTGCACACGTTGGTGCGATAGGAGGGGGATGAGGGACGGGAACGGTCCCGAGGATCCGGTCAACGGATAGTCGGTAGAGAAGTACGAGCCGGAGGCATACGAGGGCGAGGACGAAGGGGAAAAATGATAGGGGGGCCATGTAGCCGATGTTACTTGTAACATTACCCCCGTTTCAAGGTAGAGTTCCACGAACTCTTTAATCGTCGTCCAGGGGAACGTAGTCGTCCTGGTTGTTATACCACGCGGGGTCGAAGTCGAGATCTTCGAGCCAGGAGGCGGCTTCGATTGCATTCTCTTTGCGTTCTTGCTCAAGGCGAGCGGCGTCCTGGTCATACGCAGCTTCGAGCTGCTGCATGTCCCTGTAGAACCGGTCGGAAGAGGTTCCACAGCGAAGGATCTTTCTGCCGTCGAGTCGAGGGCAGAAGGGAGTGAGATGTTTTGGGGCAAATTGCCCACAAATGCGGCAGAAGTATTGCGCGCAGTGTTTCTGTTTGTGTCCATAGACACGGCACTGGCGGCAGACAACGTTGCTGCAGTAGACCTGGGTGGTCTCGGTGGCATCACGACGCGCGTTGTTGATGGCGTCTTCCTGGGCTTCCTCGCGAGGATAGTGCCTAGTGAAGTTCTGGGTGCGCGGGCGATGCGCGTGGGAGAGGGGTAGTCCTAGGGACAGGATGGATCGTGCACGAGCACGGCGATTTCGGCGTTGCGGAGTGGGAAGAGGTTCCGGAGAACCAATGGAGAGATGTGGGACCACTTCAGTAGGTACCCAATCGTCGGGGTTGATAACGGGTGGTTCGGGAGGACATTCATCCAACTCTGGGATGATGATAGAGATGGTGTCGACATCGAGGGTGGGGGAGGGGTTATGTGGAGCATAGAGCTCGCGTTTGTATTCGTCGTAGAGACGGTCGATCTCGGGGTTGGTCAACTGGGTGATGTTGGGGATCTGCTCTGGTGATTCAGAGCGGGGTAGTTGGGGAAGGAAGGGGGTCGGAGCTCTGTCATAGACAGCACGCTCGACGACTGCAAGCGGGTCGGGAGGGGGATTAAATGCCCGCTCCTCCTCGACAGCCATGACAGCGGCATGGAAGTTCCTGAGCTCAAACAGATTTAGCAAGGCTCGCTTGATCTTGCCTTGGTTATATCTGGTCGAGACGGTGGATAGGGAAGTCTCCCTAGCCAGGTCGATCCTGGCGATATCGCCGGTGAGGGCGTCGGTGGCCCTGAAGGCCTGGACGAGGTTCATGGTTATGTCGTCGTTGGTGCGGTTGAGATAGTTGTCGAGTCGGATTGCATACTGGGGATCGCAGATGACTGCTTCCCAGTAGGCCCGTTGCCTGTCTTGGACAACTGAGCGAAGGGATGGTCGTCGAAAGACGGTGTAGGAGGGCCTATCATGGCCATGCGTTGGCTGGCTCGTCGGGTCGGGGTCGGAGGCAGACGCATGAGAGGTAGCGGATCGGTGCGAGGAAACAGACAACGCTGAGGCCGACATAGTGAAGCGTCTTTCCTTGGGTAGTGGCGTAGGTGGGGTATTGGGTAGTGGGTCTCTGTTTGTCGATGGGTTTGGGTTTCGTGGGGCGGTGGCGATTGCGGATTCGTTGGCGATGGAAGGTTTTGGTATCGGTGTGGATGGGTTCGCTGGTGGGGTCAGCCCTAGTGTAGTGAGGGCGGTAGGAGAAGTTGTGGTGGCAGTTGTTGATCAACATGAGATGGCGATTGAAGCGATCTTGAGTCGCTTCTTATACGCCTTCAGGAGCTCCGCTGCGGACTTCAATTCTGTTTCGGGGAGCCACGTTCGTTCGGAGGCAGGATAGCCAACCCAAGACACGAGGTACCGGCGACGCGATCCGGTACCCTTGTGTTGGAGGATAGCTTCCACTTCGTAGTGTTCCTCTCCATCGATAAGATCAGGAGGGGGTTCGGTGAAATTTGGTCCATGCACGTCTGTCTCCTGATAGGAGGAAAGTTCCGAGGCATGGAACGTGGGGTGGATACGCCAGCTGGCAGGCAGCTTTAGCTGGAACGTGATGGGGGAGAGGACCTTCTGGATTGGGAAGGGTCCATATCGTTTCGGGGCGAGTTTCCTAGAAGGGAATCCGGTGATTAGGTTCGTGGCGGATAGCCATCCCTTATCACCAACGTTCCATGGCTTGTAATGCTGGCCATAGGAACGATCAGCCATGCGTTGCTGTGCGAGGCTGTGGCATGCAAGGGCTTCTTCGCGGATCTTGGCGAGTGATTTGACTTGGTCTTCGGCAGTTGGTAGGGTAGAGTCGGGGAAGAGATGGGGGATGCCTCGTGGTTCGTAGCCCATCATGAGATAGAAGGGGGAGGCATTTCTGGCGGAGTGTCGTCGGGAGTTATGAACGAATTCGGCCATAGGCAAGTGCTTTGCCCATTCGGAGGGGGTCGTCCGGCAGTAGATCCGGAGGTAGGTTTCGAGCTCTTGGTTGAGCCGTTCGGTCTGGCCATCTGTCTGAGGGTGGTAGGCAGTGGAAAGTGCGACTTGGTAGTCGAGGAGTCGTCCTAGCTCTTTTGCTAGCTTCGAGGCGAATTGGGGGCCTCGGTCCGAGATGATCTTGTCATAGAGTCCGAAGCGCATGAACACTTTCTTGAAGAAAAGTTCGGCTACTCCTTCTGCTGTGATGGTTTTTCTGCAAGGGCAGAGAATTACCCCCTTCGTAAGCCCATGGTCTACCACGACCATGACAGAATCATAGCCGGCGCTCTCGGGGAGGTCAGTGATTAAATCAACCGAAACCTGAGCGAAGGGCCGGAGGGCCAAGGAGGGTATCGGGGTGAGGGGAGGTGTCGTGGGGTGGGTGTTAACCTTCATCTGCTGGCACATGGCACAGCCATCGACGTATTTCCTAATGAAGGAGCCCATTCCGGGCCACCAGTAGGATTTCTTGACGTTCCATTCGGTACCGGAACGTCCGGGGTGCCCGGCAGTTGGGTGATCGTGATGTAGAGACAACACGCGATGCCGGAGGTCGGGGGGAACGTAGGCATGATCCTTATAGAAGAGAACACCATCGGTGAACCTCCAATCGGAAAGTGCAGACTTCATGGGGGGTGCGCACACCCCGGAGAGGGCGTCCAAGGCTGTTTTCACAGTCTGGTCGGAGGGGTCGTCAGAGAGTCGTTGAAACTCGTCTGTGAGTTCAGCGTCAATTAGACGGGTGAACAGGGTGTCGGGGAGGAGGATACGATCTTCGTTATCTTGACCAGCTATAGCGTGGTCTGGACGGCGAGATAAGGCATCCGGTGCAGCGAGCTTTGTTCCAGGAACGTGGTGAAGTTCCAGATCAAAGTTGGTGAGCGTGAGGTGCCACCGGGCCTGTCGTCGGGTGAGTCGTTGTGCGGAGCGGAAATAGATCAGGTTCTTGTGATCCGTGAAGACAATGACCGGGTGAGGGTTTCCTTCGAGGAAATGCCTCCAAGCCTGAAGGGCTCGGATGATGGCAAGGAGTTCCCGGTCGTAGATCTCGTAGTTCCGTTCGGCCGCGTTGAGGGACTGGGAGAGATAGCCGCAGGGGTGGTAATCCCCATTGCTATCTGTCTGGAGCAAGACTGCTCTGGTTGCGAAGAGCGAAGCGTCAGTTGCAAGCGCAAACTGTCGCGAGGAATTGGGGTTCCGCAGAACCGGTTCGGTGGTGAATAGCTTCTTCAGATGTTGGAATGAAGCTTCGGTGGAGTCGGACCAAGAGAAGGGGATCTCCTTCTTGGTTAGGTCTAGGAGAGGGCATGCGATGTTGGAGTAGTGGGGAATGAAATGACGGTAGAAGTTGCAGAATCCGAGGAAGGACCGCACGTCCTTGACCGAAGAGGGTTGTTGCCATTCGCTGATGCCTTTCAGCTTGGCAGTGTCCATAGCGACCTGTCCAGGTCGAATGATCATACCGAGGTACTCGACTTCTTGAGAGTCGAAAGTACATTTCTCGGGTTTGAGGAAGAGAGACTCTTTGCGGAGTTTCTCCAACACTCGGCGGGTCCTTTGCCGGTGTTCATCCAGGTTATCTGAAAAGATCAGGATGTCGTCCATATAGACGATTAACCATCCTTCGTTCAGTTCTTCTGAAAATGTCTGGTTCATGTAAGCTTGGAAGGTGGCGGGTGAATTGCACAATCCAAAAAACATTACCTTGGGCTCAAAGAGCCCATATGAGGTGGAGAACGCGGCTTTCCACCTATCGTCGGGATGAATGAGGATATTGTTGTATCCCGAGCGTACGTCGACCTTTGTGAACCATTGTGCCTTGTTGAGTTTCGCAAGCAAGGGTGGTATCAAAGGGAGTGGGTACGCGTTCTTGATCATCCATTCGTTGATGTATCGGTAGTCCTGGCAGGGGCGGAGAGACCCGTCCTTCTTGCCGACAAAGAAGAATCCAGCAGCTTGAGGAGACTTCGAGGGTTGGATGAAATCTTTGGCGAGGTGTTCGTCCAAAAATGCTTTGACAGCGTCGGTTTCCTTTGGTGAGAGCGGGTAGGCTCGAGAAGACTTTGGAATGAAGCCTTCCTTTGTTTCGATCTTGTGGTCTACTCCCGGTCGTGAGGGAGGGAGTTTGTTTAGACCGTCCTTTGCGAAGATGTCAGCAAAATCATGAAGATAGGAAGGTACCAGTTCTTCGAATGATTTCTTCTTCTTCTCCTGTGCGTCCTCCATGGCAAACTCTTGAGCTTTGTTGGAGGTCTTCGTGTAGTCCTGCTGGGAAGCAAGGATCCAGAGGTTCCGGAGAGGTTTTGCTCGTCGATGGAGAGCCTTCCGGATTTCTTTCTTCGAGGTCCCGTCCTTGGTAAGCGGGGTATCGAAAGAGATGTTCTCAATGATCCGGACGGATGTTCCGTCCGAAGCATATTCCACTAGAACTTCATCGTCAGTGAGGGGGTAAGTGGAGATCTCCTCAACTTTATCCGTGAGATGGGTCTGTCCGACCCAGACATCGTCCATGGTGTTGAAGTCGGTGTCTTCGAAGGGCACGATGATTGGTGCCGTCTTCTTCCTGTTACGCTTCTTGCGTTTCTTGATTTCTTCGAGGCAATGTTGAGTGCCTTCAGGGAGTCGCTTGAGGGGCGAAAAGTCCTCATCGTCGAGTTCTTCTAGGACAGCTTTTTCTCCACGAAAGAGATATGGCTTGGCCTTGCTTTCTCGCCGGGAGGCGTTGAGTTCCCTCTCCACCTCCTTTGACCTATTGGTCGCAGGCAGGGAGATCGTGTTGGCCTTCCAGTCGATATTGGGCATCATGGCACTAAGCCAAGGTTTTCCAAAAAGTAGATCATCATGCTTGGAAAGTTTTGTTACGTTGAACTTTCCATACATAAGTCTCCGATCGAGACGAATGAATAGCATGCAGTATTGGGTTACCTGTCCTGCCGAGGACGGGCTTCCGTCTACTGTGGTGATCCGGAAGGGTTTCTTGAGTAGGTGGGTCCGGATCCCATTTCGCTTGACGAAGTCATAGCTAATGAAGGTCCCACCTGCCCCTGAGTCGATGATGGCGGTCGACTGAACGGTTTTGGCACTGCAAGAAGAGAAAAGTGTCACCGGGACACGAAACTCGTTGGATTTACCAACAGCTTTAGTATACAATGCGCAGATAGAGGGAATTGACCATTCGACAAGCCCTCTCTTTAAAAATCCTTTCTTTTGACAAGGTTGACTTCCATGTCTTCCTCGTCAGAAGACTCGTCAAGCTGGCGGACGCCAGACTTGCTTGGCTTCTTGCCTTTGTCTTCTTCGTCGTTCTTGTCTCCTCGGCGCACCTTCGGGTGGAACCGGGAGTCGTTTGCTCGATGGCCCTTCTCCTTGCATTTGAAGCAAAGGCCTTTATCGAAGCACTTCTGTCGTTCCTCGGGCGTGAGGGAACGATCGACGTCCATAGCGTCAGGATCGCGTTGGCGGACCTGAGGCTTTGGGACGTGCCGGTGGCCGGAAGGGCGTACCGATCTGTTGTTGGGCACAACTGCTCTTGATCGCTTGTAGTTGGCTTCCAACTGTGTCGCGGCAGTGTACCACTTGTCGATGGTGGTGGGGACGACCTCCTTCCCGTAGATGGCGGTTCGAAGTCCTGGTTTCAACCCTCGTTCGAAGAAGTGAATGAGGGCGACGTCCTGCTTGAGACTAGCAGTGGATGACAGGGTCTTGAACGTCGCGATGTAGGGCATCACGTCGCTGGTTTGGCTCAAACCATGAAGCTTGGTTAGTGTTACAGTCACTACGTGAGCCCCCAGCTACTCGACCAGCCCTCTGCCACCTCGCACGGCAATGATACGATAACCGGGCCTTTAGGCCTTGATGATAGATGATGAATAGAAGAGAAGTCCGGAAGATGCCAGATTAGGTAAGCGATCTGGATCGCTTACATGATATGACGACATAGGTCTAGAAGACCTATATATGTTATCAAGATAGAAGGCAAGCCTCGTGTTGCCTCATGTACTGATAGAAGCCTGCCTCATGCATGGTATCTCTGACTCGATAGATAAGCAGATTAGAACCCAGCTTCAAGCTGAGCTTAGATCGATAGAGTAGCCTTATATAAGGTCGACGATTAAAGTAGATGTTCCTTACTTTAATCCTACTGGGTTTTACCTTGAACTCCTTGTCTTGCTAAAGCTACCTGCTCGACATCAGATCCGTACCTTCAGAAGGACTTGAGACCCCTTCTGCCTGTAAACCGCTATTATCGTTCGCCTCCGCAAACGTATGCAACTCCTACTCTTCTGTGGGAGCCGACCTCGGACTCTCAGCACGTGGTATCACTGTCGTGATCGTCGCTGTTAGATCATCCCAGTTCGCACGCGACTTACCGTCGTAACAGTTAGAGCCTCAGTCATCCGGTCGATCGGGTGGAAGGATTCGATGAAAGCCTTCTTGAAGTCCTTCCAGCTACCGAAGTCAATGGCAGGTTTGTCGAAGGCTGCTCAGTAGAAGGTATCGGCCCAGACGCGGGCGTCTCCATCGTTCATATACTGGAGTGCAACAGCGACCTTGGTTTGGTCGGAGCTGTAGATCGTCGAGTTGATGAGGAAGTATGTCTCCACCGAGTACATCCAGCGCTCGGCATCATCGATGCTTCCATCATAGTTCTGTGGTACTCCAGCCTTTAGTTCAGGCCTGGATACGACCACTGTCGGTTGTTGGGTGGGGCCTCCGGACATTCTTGTTCCAGGGTTCGAGTTGAGGTTGCCGTACGGTTGTTCGTCGGGAAACTCGTCGGAGGACGTGTGGTCTTCTTCCGATTCTTCTTCTTCGGAGTCCGGAGGGTTGGGATCACGTTCCCAAGGGTACTTCGGGATCCAGGTAGTCGTGGTGTCTGTCGGTTAATGGGCCGTGCGGATGGCAGGGCGCAAAAAGGAAACTTGAATCTTTTGTTACGCACTCAAATAGATCTGTTATGCGGAGCCCTAAGAGGGGCGTCGTCCGCTAATGTTCGTGACGTAACCGGAAGGGTCCGGTGTAGCGACTGAGACTGGCGACGTCGAGTCGGCAGATATCAGAGACGCGCGTGTCACGTGACTTCTAAGACGAATGTCTTCAAAGTCACTGACGTTCTCAAAGTAAGGACAGTCTTGTCCGAACGATGAGTAGTCGATCGAGGTAGACTTAGGCGCGATGAGCACCTAAGAAAAAGATACTAGAGACTGAAGCTGAGGGGGCTTCAGAGGGAAGTATGTTCGAGGGAAGATTGAGTAGATTCAAGTTAGGGAATCTAGTACAGAGTGACCGACTACTTATACTAAGTGGAAAGGGTTAAGGGCAAGGCTACCGTACTGTAGGTAAGGGCAAAGGGGAAACGGAAAGGGTATAGGTACGCTGGTAGCAGAGCCTGATTAGTGATGTAAGGTCGAATGCGGAATGAGACCGAGAAACATTGGAACGAGCCAACGGTAAATGATACAATGTGCAGCAAGCACGAGTCAAAGGAAAGATAAGACAAGATAAGGAAAGCCACATTGGTGGCACGAGTCAGAACGAGTCATAGCCCGAAGGCACGTGCACACGTTGGTGCGATAGGAGGGGGATGAGGGACGGGAACGGTCCCGAGGATCCGGTCAACGGATAGTCGGTAGAGAAGTACGAGCCGGAGGCATACGAGGGCGAGGACGAAGGGGAAAAATGATAGGGGGGCCATGTAGCCGATGTTACTTGTAACAGTTTGTTCTTTTTGAGTCGTCCCTTATCTGATGCTCGATATTAATATGTATTAGATTCGAAAATTTTCCGCGCTGGTGAAATCTCAAGCACCCAAACCAGGTTGTCAGCATTACATTTACGGACAGCTCTGTCCACGAGGACATCTCTAAGGTTCGCAAACTTGTGCGGTCGCCCTGGTTACTAACGTTTTCTCTTTCAGATGATAATTTACACCACGCATGACGTCTTGACCGAGAATGATTCTCCACTTGGTTATTTTCTCTTACGGTGTGTATGCCTCTACCTCGAAATGGACATGTACGCTGCTATGGAGGTTCACACAACGAATACAATCGAGGAGGGGAGACATACTGTCCAAGCATTCACAGCACTCATGAAGGTATGTGTATTGTAATTAGTTGATAACCCTACTTGACACATCAGCAGCAATACATGACTCAAACCGCCGATGACAACTTGAAGAATTGGGACTTTCCGAAACTGCACATGACGACACATATATTCGACGACATCGAGGCTAAAGATGCCTCGCGCAATTACAACACCAAACCGAACGAGCAAATGCATGGGCCCTTGAAGGACTGGTACTTGAACCGGACAAACTTCAAAAACATTGTGGAGCAGGTAAGCATCAATGGCATTTGTGATTCCCTACTAATTAACATCCTGTATATTATCTACATAATCAGATTCTTCGCATCGATCACTGGATACTTGTAGCTGATGACATTGATCGTCGTATTTTGGACTTTGATGAATATATGCAGCAGAAATCAGATGACGAGAACGATGATTTGTTAGATGACGATGAAAATACCGACATTGACGTGGATATTAGTACTTTAGATCGGTCACAACACGTGAGAATGGGATCAAGACAAGCTGTGCAGACCTTCTGTTCCATCGAGAATGCGCACAAGACCGATGTCGAATTCACCAACTTTCGCATCAAACTGAATGCTTTCTTAAATGTCTTTCTACCTGCCTGCAACATTCCACTGCCGAATGGAAGAAGAATCCACTTACAATCAGATGATACTGTACGTTCGTTCAATCCAGCCTTTTGTTACTACTATACTGATTTGAAACAGGTTACCGAGTATTGATTCCTACGCGTCAACTACGAATCCCTGGTAGACTGGAAACAGAATACTGCCTATCTCTGGTGCAGTCCTCAATTCTTCAACACATCGCGTTTTGACTGTGTCTTCATCCGGACACAGAATGGCGTCATCCTTGGACGTTTAGTCTTCCTTTTTCAATGCGCCATTGGGAATGACTTATTTCCCCTTGCTCTCATCCACCCCTTTGACGCTCCGACAGGGCCACGACTTCGACAGGACAAGCAGCTTAACCTTTTCAGAGTTCGTGCACAACCACGCACAAAGGCCGAGTTCTTCTCGGTACAATCAATCATTCGTGGGGCACTCCTAGTACAGGATTCAGGCGGCAACCCCCTCGATCACTTCATTGTTGACACCATCGACACAGACATGTTTCTTCGTGTAAGGGAGATGCACCAGCAGGTAGGTCATCCAGTGCGCATCTGACCAAATCCGCGTTCAGGTGATTCTTTCGTCTCTTTGACCATCGCAGCACTCTGCTAATACATTCCTCAGTAATATATTCATAAAACTCTGTATCTATGTAGTATACCATTGACATGTTGATGTTATTACTTCCCTGCCCTCAGGAATTTATCTCTGTCGTACAGTTGTACCAGCAACACTTTCATTTTCTTTACTAACAACAGTATTATACTACACCGTCACCTGCGGGGACGCGAACCTCTGCTGATTTGAGCATTTGTTTGGATTCATTTTTGCCGAGTTGTTCAGTCTATCTTCCACCAACTGCAAGAGGACGTCCTTTTCACCCTTACAAAACAACACGATGTCACGTCTTTGCTTCTACCACCCATCTCACACACCTCTCAAGCACTTCAACACCGACATTTGCAAACTAACCATGCATGCTGTGGTCCGTGTGTCCTAAACATGACTGGAACCTCGTCTGGATGGCAAGCGCGTGGCGATTCGGATGGAGAAGGAAAGAGATAAGGAGCAGGAGAGAGAGCAGCGCAGAAATGATGATGACGATGACCTGAATAAGTGCGTTGTATTTGATATTCTACTATCTCTCGCATTCTCATATTGTTTTGTTTACAGCTGGCAGAGATGGGAGTTCCATCCCTTACCTGCCAAACCTGTTCGCACCTCCCCTGTTAAACCAAAAACGGTACCCTCCAAATCACCATCACCTGCGGGGACACGATCGCACTCTCCTGATTCTTACTACTCTCATATGTCTTCGTGAGGTCGTTCGCACTCAAGGTCCTTATCTCCAAGATCGCAGCAACATAGTTATAGTCCAGTTCAATGGTGTAGTCAGACACTCACTGACAGAGGATGAACAGGGAAGCCCAGAGCTGGAAGTCATATTCCCCTGGATCATCCAATCGCAGTTGGACCATGCGCAGAGGTCATCGACACAGCCTTTTGTCGGCCTCATCTGTAAGCCTGAGCAGGGCAATGTAAGAATATTACTACTCAGTACGACCCCAGATAGGCGCTGATTATTTTGCAGCGATTCCACGAACATCTATGAAACATCATTTAGGTGATTCTCCCATCAGCTACCATCCATCATCCGCATTTAGCTGCGCCGCCTCTACACCCTCCTAGCATTGTCATCACCAAGAATGACACCATGTCCGATTTTTCCCGAGGAGCAAGTATGTCGCTCTCGTCACTCATCCACTGTATTCCTAACTCCCGGGCCAGATTCAGACACCATGTCTGATTCTTCCCGAAGAGCAAGTATGTCGCTCTTGTCACTCATCCACTGTATCTCTAACTCCAGATTCAGACACCATGTTCTATTTTTCTGCTCTTTTCACTCGTTCACCATATCTTAACCCATGAGTCACTCTATTAAACTCAACTTAAACTTGAATCTGATCATGCACAGCAGCTACACATGTTCTATTACTCAAGTCTGTGTCTTTTACGAGTTTCGCTTCAAATATCAATTCACATTGGTGCGCAATCCCATGAAACGGTTCATGGAATGTAATAGACCAGACCTTTCATGAGCCGAAGAGTCTATCGTCCTGGGGGATCCTTAATTACTCGAGGGTCAGCGATCAGATGATCAATCGCTTCGTCAACACTTTGCTCAACAAAACTTGGTGCCATACGTCTTTATATCTTCTATGTATCTTAAACTAACCTTGGCTGTATCAGGAATGAGTAAATAGGATGTTGAATTTCGTTTCTAGCTGCTGATTGTTGTTTGACAGATTTAGCCCCACACGCCGCGAGTCAGTCATTTCCTGGAGCGTCCGAGTCTGTGGTGAACGTAAGTGCTATTACGTGTCAACTAATCTCTTGCACTGACATGTAAAACTGCAATGCAGCAATTTTACGTCTGACACTGCTAAGGTAATGGGCAGTGCAGGCACTTTATAATACGTGGTACTAGGTGAGTAATTTCTGTCGTCTCCTGCCTTTTGAACCAAATCTGAATTGGTATCCCCAAAACAGCTTCGTCAAACCGTCATGTCGCATGTTTCACGGCCCAGTACAGCAGATTCTTCTGAATCTGATAGCGAATGGGATGGTCAGAACGCTGCTGGTGCTGATCATATCTCTATCCCGGGTCCTGGTGCATCTAAAGGAGAACTCCTGGAGGTAAGACATATGCGCAATTTTGAGCATTTCCTGACTTGAACTTTATCCACTCAGATGCTCAAAATGTTGCAAGTTCAAATGCAAAAGCTTCAAGAAGAGAATAGGACAATCAAGGAAGAAAATAAGACTTTACACGCAGAGAAACCCAAGCAAAAACGGCACACAGATGCTCATGATGAGCTCAGCGTTCATGAGGACATCATCTCTATCTATGCTCGCAAGTATGGCATGATGATTGAGATGTTTCCCAGCAGCGACCTCCTCAATAAGCGCCTTCCAGACTTGCCAACTCCATTTGACAGCACTGAACGATATACGACTGCGTCTACTCAAGAGTCGGCATTTCTGGACGAGCTCTATCGTCACTTCCCAGAGTCATTACACAAAGTGATGGAAAGTTCATACTTCAGCAATCTCATAAGTGAACTCTCATTCCTGGACTTCTGCACAATATAATATGATTATTGTAGGTGATGAAATCCATCCCAGATGCTCGTGCTAACGAGATCAAGAAACTTCGGGGTGTTGCTGGCGACATTTTCGACCTCCCTTCAAAATACTTCACCAACACTAGCTACGATAGAGCTAATGTCCCTGAGATCCAACAACTCCTTGGGGTCACGTCTTTGACAAACCTGGCATACAAGACATTCCCTCCGGTGCTATTCCCAGAGTTGAAAGAGGACTGATCACTCAAGACTGTCTTTGGAAACTGGCAACTGTTGGCATGAGTAAGTCTAGTGGTGCTCTCTGATTTGGCTGTCTGTCTCACCAGGAACATCCTCAGATTCTGAAAGCTTCGTTGCATGGTATCACATCCCTCCATCACGCTTCCAGTGGCGGCGGTGCACATACCAACTCCATGAAATGGAGCGTTCGGCAGGTCACACCGGGCTCCATAGCTTGGGCTGCAGTTCTCGTAAGCTAGTCATAGTTTTATTGGCAGTCGCGCTCACACACTATTACTGTAGGCAATATTCTTACTGTCTCCAGACACTGAATTTTCGAGCGCGGGCATTGGCAAGAGGTCAACGATTAGCTACAAGGATTTATTTTTCACCTACAAGAAAGTTCTAGTGACCAAGTGGAAGACGAAGCGCATTGTACATATTGTAAGTAATATCAACAACTACATCTTCAAAGCTGCACGACCTTCGGCGTTGGATTCTGCTGTACATGAAGATTTCACGGATGCGATTGATCGCGCACTCGCAGCGCTTGACATGGAAAGTTCGGACGATGGATCAGAAACTGCGGCAGACGTAACAGGTCCAGGAACTCCCACAGCCGCTGCTGCCTTGGAGAGACATGTCAATGAGTCAATCTCACAGCCTAGCCTCTCCACACATCGGCGGCACACCACAGAAACTTTGCCTGGCCCCATTGTCGACAATGTGGCCACCAATGATGGCACTGCCGCAGATTTGGAGGATGCTGCAACACCTCATGTTGTGGGAGCTGCTGCAGCCATCAGTTCATCAGGCGAGGTACTCCAGGAGGCGGCAAATGATCCGAGCAGTACTAGAGGGAGGTCTAAGAAGTCGAAAAATAGAGGGAGGAAGGCAGCCACACCAGCGATGGCTTCTGATCGTACTACTCGGCAGACTCACAAATAGTCTTATGAATCCTGCACCTACTTGTTGTATTAGCCCGTCATCGGTTTACTTACTTGTCAATGGACTGTGAATCATACTGTAACATTAGATTATGCAACTCCTTGGAATTGACAGAGTTATCGGATTCAGATTACAGTGATATTAGGACGTGCATCATCAGCTGCTGCAGCGCTCAGCGGGAGTCTTGCAATTCCATTGGTATTACTAATATTACATAATCTTGATATAATAAACCAATCACCACTTCAAACATCCTGCTTTGTGGCATGTTCCTCGTATCTGTCCCTTTTGCCTGAAAATTCCTCGCTGAAAGCACAGCCGACTAATGAATGTCTATCTCTTTTCCGCATCGTCTCGCACATCTTGTCCATAGCTCCCTCGCCCACCCCAAACAATGACAATTGGTCATGCCCACTCTCACTAACCTTCGCCCTGGGGTTCTGACCCTCCTATACATCTTTGAAATGTCCGAGGGCAATCCTATCCATGGAGGCTGCCATCTCTCCGAATAGTCGGATTGCCTGCTCACCACCCAAGAAATGTGAGTTGTGTTTTTAAAATTGTTCGGCTATGAGGACTCACCATATTATTATTATTCCAGCTTGCCTTCAGCAAGCAGCTCGAGGATGGTCTGAATCCATCACTCTCAGACCACAACATCCAGCAGGAGTCCACTATCTTCACCCGGTCCTGCATCTCCATGGAGGCAAGTCTCAGATCCAGTATAAGGAGTGTATCCCTACTGACCAACAGCATCTCATCTTCACCGGCAATTCGAAGACAGCTGTACCTTTTCCGACCACAACATCCAGAAGGAGCCCACTACCTTCACCCGGTCCTGCGTCTCCATGGAGGCATGCAGATTTTTGTCAAGACCCTCACCATGTCGGAGGTGGAGTCTTCTCGAAGGCAAGTCTTAGATCCAGGATCAGGAGCGTATCCATACTGACCAACAGCATCTCATCTTCACCAGCAATTTGAAGACAGCCGCACCTTTTCCGACAACAACATTCTCCTTCACTCGGTCTTGCGTCTCTGTGGAGGCATGCAAATCTTTGTCAAGATGCTAACAGGCAGTCCTCTTCCACCATCGATTCGTGAAGGCGTGTCCCCCCTTGCCAACAGCATCTCATCTTCACCAGCAAGCAGCTCAAATATGGCCATACCCTTTCCGACTACAACATTCAGACCGCCCTTCTAATAATGGAGCTGATGCTGTCCCCCATGACCTCCAAACCCCAATACCGGATAACCGTTTCCTGGTCTCCCCTGGTGGTAATATTATTATATATTAAGTCATTTTTTTTGCTCCTTGATATCCTTCCGGTTCTGATTGTCGGTATAGCCAGGAACATATTGCTATTACTATTATTGCCTTGGCCGTATTTACAAGACCTAATTATTATAGATAAAAATCTGTACAATAGGCTTGCAATCCAATAGAAAAATTTCAATGCTCTGATCACGATCGTTATGTGCCGCAATGCCTGACAATGAGCTTCACAATGATGCTTGCAACAGTTATTTAAATGGGACAAAATTGGAGGTTCGAAAGATTAATTCCATTTAAATAAAAACTACAATTCCATTCCAATTCCATCACAATTCAGTTGCAATTCGGTTGCAATCACCCTGAAATCACGACTCTATCATAGCAACCTATTTAAAGACGCTCGCTGCATTTGAAAGTTGAAATCGGTTGCAAACCGTTGAAATACAAATAAGGAAGTTCTGACATTATGCCAATTAATTCCACCACTGCCTAACATGGAATGCACTGCTCGTCACTTCATGCACTGACTCCATCTACACATTGTCCTTTGATCCAGTACCGTCGACAGGATCTCCAACCCTTAATCTTCTGGCTCGAACAATCGTTGGCCACCATCTGTCATGGATCGTATCTCATCCGTTCGATAAATCCCTCATATGTACAGGGCTCAAACAGGCAGATGGAGAGGTTGCCATGATCAAGTATGGCAGAGGTGGAACCGTCAAAGAAGGAGAAGTGGTGGCCAGGGCCAAGAGTGGTGGTGCAGACCCTTGCACCCTTCTTGTCGCAGAGGACGAGCATATTATTGGAAATGTAAGTCCCCAAAATGTCGGCCCTACCTATTCTAATGTTCCCTTTCTTGCATCCGCGTCTGCATCCCGTACTCCTAGGGCACAATCGCGACCCTTCTGATATCAACATCCGCCCCTTACATACTCTCACCACACCCATGGACGCTTTCGATGTCGTTCGAGTATGTAAGTTGGAACAAAACTCGTCAGTCTTCATCCCACCCCCATCTCAATCCACTGAACCAAACGGAGAAAGAGCTCCTTGTCCCGGATTTAGGTACAGACAAGGTCTGGAGACTCACCAAACGAAATGATGGCAAGTGGTCCATTCACGGTCACATTGACTTTGAAGCAGGGGGTGGCCCACGACATGTTGTAGCTCGAGGTGTGTCACTAACCTCTACTCTTGAAACCTTGTTGATTGTTGTAACAGGAAATACCCTTTACATGCTACTGGAGCTCACCTTAAAGCTTGCTGTGCATACTTTCCCACCGCTTCCGGCGACCCCTACTTGTCTTACTTCTCTGTTCACACTTTCTGCATTACCAATACCGGATACCATGTTGGCAGCGGAAATCCTGCTACCCAAACCCAACACATCCTTCCCTGAAACATTCATCTACACACCGAACAGAAATGACCCTCATTCCGAGGGTTACACGATTGCAATATTCTCTCTTGCTACCGGAGAGGGTCAGCCAGAGCTTGTGAACGAAGTGTGTACAGGGCTAATTCATGTCCGGGGAATGGTGTTTGGAGGTGACAAAGATAAGTATCTGGTTGTAGGTGGTGCGGAAGGTAGCGGAGTGAAGATATTTGAGAGGATTGATGGTGGCAAGGGACTCCAAGAAATTGCAAAGCTCGGTGAAGACGTTGTGGCCCGTGGGCCATCCCACTGGCTTCTTGTGGCACTGAGAAGTCAAGATGTGAACCGGTGGACATACATCTGCTCGCCAGCTGGAGTGTAGCATTTATGAGTGTCTGCCGCACCAGGTCGAGGATATCAGTTATGTAGTATACTTGCTTGTACTGTCTGATCGAACCGGCTATTAGGGTCTCATACAATATGATTACAACAGAACCAGATGCTAACGCGCTGCATATTGTGAGAGGATGATTCGTAGAGAATGTGGAAATGTTTAAGCCAATACCACAGGGAATATCCTCACAGCTGGGATTTTCGAGATTTCATCGGAATCCGATGCGGTGCGCGGAGATACTAAGAGCTAGTTCGGAAACCCATGTGAAGTCAGGTTGAATCAATTTGCAGTCGGCAAGCATGGTCGGCACGCCACCCCGAACGGCTGACTTTCAACCTTGCTTGCATTGTACTACTACCGTTATCGCATCAATAATCTTAAGGATCTTGACAAGTGTTGTATCTCTACCAGCTCTTGCTGCGCATTACTGTAACTACTGTTCTCACTACAATGACACGTCCAGAGATCCAACAACGCCTCCTTCACTATGCTAAAATCCTCATCAGCATCCTGATATGTGCTACAGGATCCCTACTACAATCTACCTACTCCAAAGACCCGGAACCGTACCACACATCCATTCTCTCTGGTGAAGGCTGGCTTATGGAGCTTCTTACTGGACATCCAGAACGCATTCGATGCGAACTGGGTATGCATGCACATGCTTTTGAAGCGCTCATCTCTGAGCTCCGTAACTTCGGTTATGTTGACTCCAAGTTCGTCTCGTTGGAAGAACAAATCACTATATTCCTGTATACTAGCATCACGGGCCTGACTACCCGGCACGTTGGAGAGCGGTTTCAAAGATCGAACGATACGATTTCACGGTGAGCGCTATTATTTTTTGATCTATACAATACATCTAATATTTCCTAGTTATTTTAAAAGGATTCTACAGATATTCTCGTCCCCCCCGTTCTACACTACCTACGTCCACTAACCAGACGGCACTTCGGTCTCAAAAAAATAAAAAACAACCCCAAATTTTGGCCGTTTTTCCGGGATGCTGTTGGCGCACTTGACGGAAGTCATATTCATGTGTCGCCCCCTGCCTTTGAACACACTGTATACCGTAATCGCAAAGGTTTCATTTCGCAGAACTGTTTATTTGCTTGTGACTTTGATCTCAATTTTGTCTACTCTTTGACCGGGTGGGAGGGTTCAGCTAACAATTCTCGGATTTATGAGGATGCGCATGTGCATGACTTCCACATTCCACGACAGAAGTACTACCTAGCGGATGCAGGATTCCCGCTTTGCCCTGAACTTCTCGTGCCATACCGTGGTGTCCGTTACCACCTTGCGGAGTGGGGCCATGCAAATATCAGGTATGTTTTTCTAACTTCTTCATTTCTCTAACTTATATTTTGATGGCAGGCCCGTCAATAAAGAGGAGCTCTTCAACCTACGCCATGCATCTGCACGAAACGTGATAGAACGCATCTTTGGTGTCCTAAAACGCCGCTTTCACATTCTCCTTTTGGCACCAGAGTACCCCCTCGACACTCAAGCACGAATTCCTGCTGCATTGTGCGCAGTCCACAACTTCCTACGCCTACATGATCCCAGTGAGGATGAGGATGAAGAGTCGTGCGGCGAATCATACGCGTCCGAGAACCCTGATTTTCAGGGACAAGCTGACAACGACAACGACAACGAAGAAATGAACGACAATAGTGGTCATGCGATGAGTGGTTGCGCATTGCGCAAGCAATGTGGGATCAATATCAGGATGTCATACACGAGAGGGCTTTGTTGGACTCAGGTTCAGACTCGGAGGTATCAGACGTGTTGGACGAGAGCGAATTGGAAAGCGTAGCATAGAAACACATGTAATTCGGTATGGAAACAACAAGTACTTGGTACGGAAACAGCTAGTGATTGAGTATGAAAAAAACAAATGAGTGCATGCGAGATTGAACAAATGGCAGGTAAACTACACGGCGCTGGCAGCACAGTTACAACTGCGGACGGACGTATGGCACTTGTGGTGCTTGCGGGACCTTCTGAAATCTATACTGGATCATGTGCTGGATGAATGCGTACCGCGTGTCTTTGTCATCGTTTTGAAGGTATATGTCGGTGACAGCTGGGTCATCTGCAAACATGTGCATGACAATGACCCTCTCCTGCAACGGATAGTAGTCTGTGTCTTCCCCGTTCAAGATATGCAAGGCAGTGTGTCTCTGCTTCTCCAGCCTTTCCGCATCAGTAACCATACCCTTCTCGATCACATCGGTGAGACGATTGATGGACCCTTGCATGCCCATGACAGCTGCAGCTGGCGTGATCTTGGCTGCTCTTGCAGTGCTGGTCATCATTGCAGATTGGCCACTGTCAGCGCGTGACTGGGTTGCACGCGACTTCTGTTTCTTTGACGCTCGAGCCTCAGATTGTTGTGGCAGTTCAGATGTCGATGAAGGTACTGTGGATGCGAATGTGGCCGCATCATCATGGAACATGGATGTGGCATTGTGTGAGCGCTTTCCGGTACTGGAGGTTGTAGAGATAGTTGGTCGAGTGGCAGCACTAGACGGGGGAAGAGAAGCGATGGTATTGGTCCCGGACATAATGACGTCACCACTTGTGCCAGCAGCGGCACTCATGGAGCTAGTAGATCCGCCACTCGTGCCAGTGATGGCACTCATGGAGCTAGCAGATCCAGGAGCCTGAGCTCCTGGGGCATCCACCCCAGGCTCATCATCAATGGAGGGCGCGGGAACATCGGTGGCTCGGAAAGCCGCTGCCCCTCGTGCGCCACCCACGGGTAAAATCTCCTGCATCCGCTCAAGATAGACCCATCCGGAGTTTCAGAAAGGGCGCATCGCAGAATTGGACTGAAAGAAATGTAGTATTAGTAAAACAACATGACATGAGAGTATAATGACATACCTTTTGCTGGACATACACATCAAACACTGCCGCTGCTGCCTCCCCCTGGATGTTCGCACCGTACTCAGGGTGCCACTGATTGATTCCAGACTGCTTGCAATACTTATCGATAGCATTGTAGATCTGTTTCAACTAAACGCGTGTTAGCTGAGATCGATAAACATAGATTGGAATCAGCAACTCACTGATGTCCACTTTGTCTGGCACATTTTGCCAGTCTTTTGTGGGCCCGGTGTCTTCTTGGGTGCAATATCCCTCGCTGCTCCATTGAATGTTACCATCTTGAAGTTGCCTCCTTCAGCACGCTCTGACCGATGTTCATGAAGGTAGTCGACCAGCGCAGTTACTTCTGATTTGGTCCAAAATGCCTTCTCTTTCTCTTGAGCCATGAGAACAGTAGTGTAATGCGCAGCAAGAGCTGTTAGAGATACAACACTTGTCAAGATATGTTTACGATGGTTGAGATGGACACCCTTGAGATTATTGATGCGATAACAAGATTCCATGGTGGTACACTGGTAGTAGTAGGATGCAAGCAAGGTTGAAAGTCAGCCGTTCGGGGTGTGCCGTGCTGACCATGCTTGCCGAATGCAAATTGATTCAACCTGACTTCACATGGATTTCCGAACTAGCTCTAAGGAGGAACATCTGCAAAACGACTGAAATGAACGCTTAACTTACGCGCATTACGAACACTTACGAACACTTACAACTTCAGTAGCGAACTCAGGCGATTGGTGGAGATGCTGAAAACCAATATAACACACCATATCTGGCTGATAAACTGAAGCGGCAAAGATAACTTGTTAATACAACCGCAATAATCTACAACTGCATCAACAAGATCTACTATGAAGAAGTTGGTATAATGATTTCCACACTTCAGTCACCCCTGTTAAAGTACCTCTTGGGTACATATATTCTGGCTTACAATCTCACCTAAGAGGCATGATCTTAGGTGGCAATGCAGGTTATATCCTGGGCCAATTCAACACTTTCCCCACGAAGCCTGGGCCTGCTGGGCCAATGTATTTGATCTGTCCCATGACCCATCTGGGTCATCCTAAATACTTTATTATATGAATACACTGGGGGTGTCAGGGGTCATTTCTCATGAAAAATTACCCACACATTTAGACACTTAGAGTATAATGTTTGTCTTCATAAGGTCCTTGACCTACGAATGGAGAAAGTGAAAAGAAATATGTGGTGAGGGGGGGGGGGGGGGGGGAGGGGCAGCTTGTCTTTGAAGATGAGGGAAGAATGTAAGTTGGGTAAGGTTCTTGACCTACAAAATTCAAAGCAGCTGGAGGAGGCGGGAAGAGATTTGTGGTAGAAGGGGGGGTTGTCTTTGAAGATGAGGGAAGAATGTAAGTTGGGTAAGGTTCTTGACCTACAAAATTCAAAGCAGTTGGAGGAGGCGGGAAGAAATTTGTGGTAGAAGGGGGGGTTGTCTTTGAAGATGAGGGAAGAATGTAAGTTGGATAAGGTTCTATTTGTGGTAGGAGGAGGAATTGTCTTTGAAGATGAGGGAGGAATGTAAGTCGGGTAAGGTCCTATTTGTGGTAGGAGGGAGGGAGGGTTGTCTTACTGGGCCAGCCCAGCACTCTGCTGCACATGATGTGGGATAGCCCACTGCTGGTTTATATGTTGACTGGGCCAGCCCAGCACCTCTTCTACCCATGATGCGGGCTAGCCCACTGCTGGTTTTATATGGTCACTGGGCTGGCCCAGCACCTCTTCTACCCATGATGCGGGATAGCCCACCACTGGTTTATATGGTCACTGGGCTGGCCCAGCACTCTCCTACGCATGATGCGGGATAGCCCACCGCTGGTTTATATGGTCACTGGGCTGGCCCAGCACTCTCCTACACATGATGCGGGATAGCCCACCGCTGGTTTATATGGTCACTGGGCTGGCCCAGCACTCTCCTACGCATGATGCGGGATAGCCCACCACTGGTTTATATGGTCACTGGGCTGGCCCAGCACTCTCCTACACATGATACGGGATAGCCCACCGCTGGTTTATATGGTCACTGGGCTGGCCCGGCACTCTCCTACACATGATGCGGGATAGCCCACTGCTGGTTTATATGGTCACTGTGCTGGCCCGGCACTCTCCTACCCATGATATGAGATAGCTCATGTCTGGGATGCCCCACCATCTTTGAATTCTAAGATGGGATAGCCCATGATATATTTGCACTTTCCAAGTATTGTCTAATAGCAATCACTCAAGAATTTCGGATATTGTTACAAAAGACTATATATCATATGAATCTGAGTCAAGATCTATATATGCTCCAGCCAATGCAGCTTCCTCCAATTCATCTATCAATTCATCATTCTCCCTCTCCTCATCAGACTCCCAGTCATTCTCAGAATCATACACAGCAGCTGTGCCATCAAGACAGCTTGGTTGATAATACATATTAGCAGCCTCAGCAAGGTCATTCGGAGTGGGGCCCCATGAGTCAGGCAATGGCCAAGCACAAGGGATAGGACGAACTTGAGATTGCCAATGCACAACAAGACCACTCAACAAGTGAGCACGGAGGTCAAAATGAAAGCAGAGATCTCCATTTTCTTCTAAATATACTATCAGTGTCACGGCAGTAGAATGTTGTACAAACTTACCTGCATGAGTGCGAGCCTCCTGCAAGGCATCCCACTCAGCCATCATCCACTCCTGGAGAACACAACATTCTCGCATGATACGAGCCCTTTCCTTATTGCACCGGTCTACCTCGAGTTGAAACTTAATTGCTGCGCACATATTTTCATCCGCTAGCCAGGCAGGTGGAGCCATGTCATTGCTGTCAAGTCCAACATCTTGCCAGATGTCATCATCTACGTCAAGCTGAAAGATACCAGTCGGAGAGATAGAATGAGGTGCTATCGCACCGGCAGGAGCCTCGCCTCGTCGAATTAAGTCAATTAGTTTACCACAGAAGTTGTTGTAAGTTGTGACAAGCTTTCGTATGGTAGGGTTGCGCTGTTGAATTGAAGCTTCTGCATGCACATGAAGCTTGTGCTCTAGATCAAAGATAATCATAGACATGTCAACATATTGAAACGAGCTATGTACATACCATTTACTGTCTGACGGTACGACCGTTCAAACCTCTCAATTTCAAATTTGCGCTGGCGCAGACGTTCACGAAGGTGTTCCTTGACAGCTTGCACATCAAGACAAATTTGAAGGAATATACTACGTCAGAGTTGTTGAAGATCGTTAAGTTGCCCGATGCCAAGGGATGCCTTCCATCGTCGCAGAGTATCAGCAACTTTGGACTGGTGGGTGCATTCGTCTGCAAGTCGAAGGTTGAAGTCAACATTGTTAAGAGTGTTGCCAGCACAGAGCTGCATCTCAAGAGCACGAACGGAATTGTCCAGGTTACTGAGTGTTCGCTCGAGGGTCAAAATCTTCATATTTGCTCGTCATTGTTGGTTTTTGATCTCCCTTTCTATTAATGTTAGGGAAATATGAAAATATAAAATAAAGCATGCACTGGATAATGGTTTCGTTTGGTGCTCAACCTGAGCCCTCCATTCCGGGCGTATATTAGCTTCATCTACAGAGAGTTGTCGAAGCGCATGTTCTGCACTGCTCTTCTTTGTCTGGCAATGAGTCCATCTGTGACTCAGCCACTCGCCAAATGTATCGAGATTTTTGCTGTCAAGATGCCGAACTTACGCATTCAGCACAAAAAGCCGTTGGTGGTGCTATCTTAATGTTAGTCAGTCAAGGTATACAAATTAAGATACTTACCCCAGAGACCCGCAAGGGGGGGATCAACATCTTGAGAGCGCTCCACAGGCACTCACAGCCCTCTCCGTCAGAAAGTCCAAACCCTTCACATTTGCGAGGGTGATAAATAAGCTGACAAGGCCACTGATGTCCGTACACGTTGAAGGTACAACAATTCAGATGGTGAGTCTGAACAATGTTGGGTCTTGCAGAACCTAGCTGCTATTCGACCCTAAAGGGTTTCTGGACTAGGCTTAAGGCTCAAAGGAGAGGAAATATCATAGAAACTTGGTCAGCCCTCAGACCCATACTGGTAACTGGTGAAAAGATTGCTTGCTTATGTAAGCTACAAAAGTGCCAACATAAGGTAAGGTAAAAACAGTCTCTACAAGCCCAGCCAGAAATGAATCCCTACAGCATGAAATATGGATATAGAAAAGACGATACGTGAGAGAATACCTTGCTTGAGAAGTTGGTATTTAAGACAACTACACTCGAGCTGACAAGCAATAACATACAAGATACCGACGGTCATGGTTGGCGGAAGATGTTCGAAGAGCTTTTTAATAAGTGCAAGCACATAATATTGTTTTTCACCTGCTGATGTCATATTGACCAACCATAAGACACAATCATGACGACAAAGTAAGGCCATGATTCCCATATCAGCGAAGAAACGGGTGCTAGCTTTCTCTCGTTTTTCGTCGGCAGCAAGAAAAGATTCCCTGCAGGCATCCAATGTCGATACAGGGATGCGCATACTATCTTCGTACCTGTCTTCATCGCCTTCCGGCTTCTTGCGTTTTGTTCCACGACCAGGTAGGGAGCCTCGACAGGCAAGTACATGAGCTTCCATCCGTGTGACCTCTTCGTCCGAAATGAAAACTGATTGTGTTGGGTTTGGCGGATCTAGGCCATCGGCCCCACGTGAATTGGCTGACTGTTTCTGTGTGAAGCATGCATCGATGCATACATGGCAATCTAGCCTGCAAAAACATCAGCATGGGGGAAAACACGGTAGGAAAGACATACTTGAGACGCGAACCGTGATCCTTTTGCCAATCCTGCATTCCAAAACAAACTGGACAATGTGAACGGAGATAATTGCTTGGTTGTGTGGGCAAGACTTCGTCCCCCAAAGAACGCAAAGGAAGATGTTGTGAAATGAGGCTGTATACGCACATATTACAGTGACCTATTTCCATATAATACGAGGGAACGGACATGCATAATATCCCATATGATATGGGCCAGCGGACCATGGGCCCATGATAAAAATATCCTCGACTATGACAGATGGGCCGGGAGGCAAATTATTCCCAATGGAGGCGGGTGGGCCCATGCAGGGGATATATAGAGTAGATGAGTGGGCTGATGTACATGAATATTAGGTAGACGGGTGGGCCGAGGTAGTTGGATATTATGCAGATGGGTGTATTAAGGTAGATGTGTATGAGATAGATGGGTAGGTACTTGTTATCACATTCACGGGTGGGCCCAGACACATATTAAATTAGACGGGTGGGCCGAGGGTATTATACAATATTGTATTATACGGGTGGGCCCAGACGCATATTAATTAGACCGGTGGGCCGAGGGTGTTGTATGGGATGTTGTATTAGACGGGTGGGCCGAGGGTGGTATAAAATATAGATGGGTGGGCCCATGTGTATCATAATTGTAAACACGATGGAGCTGAGGTAGTTGTACATCAACCAAATCAGAGGAGGTAATAAAATCAAATCAGAGGAGGTAATAAAATCAAAGTTACCAAGTTCCTGGAGCAGCAGGTGATCTCCTGACATGGCCTTTGATGGTGCACAGGTTGTCTTGCAAAATTTGGAATCCGGGGTGCGAAGCTTGTGTTACCCTATGAGAAGCCAAGTTCCAATTACCAACCTTTGGGTCAACCGTACTCAGAGGAGGTAATAAATCAAAGTTCCCGAGTTCCCGGAGCAGCAGGTGATCTCCTGACATGGCCTTTGATGGTGCACAGGTTGTCTTGCAGAATTTGGAATCCAGTGTGTGAAGCTTGTGTTGCCCTATGAGACGCCAAGTTCCGTCCACCCAAATTTGGGTCAACCGTACCGACTTCCAAGTTCCGGGATCCGGGAGTCGACAAATGAATATCTGATAACCAGCACACTTCCAATCAGGTAGTATTTCATTGAGCAATGAATCATCCAAGGGGTCTCTTATCAGACTCGGTAGTCAATATAGGCAAATGATAATGAAAACATGAAAGTTGTTATTATGCTATTTTTCAAACCCGAGACCCTGAAACCCATTGTTCAACATGTCCATTTTTCACTCACTGCACAAATCACCAAGTTTCGAGTGCCAAAGTGTGAAACTTGAAACCCAGTGTGCAACATGTCCATTTTTTTTCATGTACATTACACAATTCATTGAGTTCCGAGTGCCAAGTGCCAAAACCCGAACCCCGAGACCCGAAAATATGTATGCAACATTTCCATTTTTCACTTGTTGCACAAATCACCGAGTTTTGAGTGCCAAAGCGTGAAACTTGAAACCCAGTGTGCAACATGTTGATTTTTCATTTATATAACACAAATCATAGAGTTCCGAGTGCTGAGGGCCAAACCCCGAACCCCGAGACACGAAAATATGTACACAACATGTCCATTTTTTACTCACTGCACAAATCACTGAGTTTCGAGTGCCAAAGCGTGAAACTGGAAACCCAGTGTGCAACATGTTGATTTTTCATTTATATCACACAAATAACCAAGTGCCAAGTGCCAAGTGCCGAAACCCGAAGCCCGAGACCTGAAAATATGTATGCAACATTTCCATTTTTCACTTGTTGCACAAATCACTGAGTTTCAAGTGACGAAACCCGAGACTCAAAACCAGGCATGCAACATGTTCATTATTCATTTAAATTACACAAATCATTGAGTTCCGAGCTCCGAGGGCCAAAACCAGAACCCCGAGACCCGAAAATATGTACACAACATGTCCATTTTTCACTCATTGCACAAATCACCGAGTTTTGAGTGCTGAAACCCAAAACTTGAAACCCGGTGTGCAACATGTTGATTTTTCATTTACATCACACAAATCATTGAGTTCCGAGGTCCGAGGTCCGAGACCCGAACCCCGAACCCCGAAAATATGTGCACAACATGTCCATTTTTGACTTGTTGCACAAATCACCGAGTTTTGAGTGCTGAAACCTGAAACTCAAAACCCGGCATGCAACATGTCCATTTTTCATTTATATTACACAAATCATCAAGTTCCGAGTGCCGAGGGCCGAAACCCGAACCCCGAGACCCGAAAATATGTATGCAACATTTCCATTTTTCACTTGTTGCACAAATCACTGAGTTTCAAGTGCCGAAACCCAAAACTCAAAACCGGGTGTGCAACATGTCCATTGTTCAATTATATTACACAAGTCATTAAGTTCCGAGTTCCGAGGGCCAAAACCCGAACCCCGAGACCCGAAAATATGTACACAACATGTCCATTTTTCACTCATTGCACAAATCACTGAGTTTTGAGTGCTGAAACCCGAAACTCGAAACCCGGCATGCAACATGTTGATTTTTCATTTACGTCACACAAATCATTGAGTTCCGAGGTCCGAGACCCGAGACCCGAACCCCAAACCCCGAAAATATGTGCACAACATGTCCATTTTTCACTCATTGCACAAATCACCGAGTTTTGAGTGCCGAAACCCAAAACTCGAAACCCAGCATGCAACATGTCCATTGTTCAATTATATTACACAAGTCATTGAGTTCCGAGCTCCGAGGGCCGAACCCCGAACCCCGAAAATATGTACACAACATGTCCATTTTTCACTCATTGCACAAATCACCGAGTTTTGAGTGCTGAAACCCGAAACTCGAAACCTGGCATGCAACATGTTGATTTTTCATTTACATTACACAAATCATCGAGTTCCGAGTGCCAAGGGCCGAGACCCGAAGCCCAAGACCCGAAAATATGTATGCAACATTTCCAATTTTCACTTGTTGCACAAATCACCGAGTTTCAAGTGCTGAAACCTGAAACTCAAAACCGGGTGTGCAACATGTCCATTGTTCAATTATATTACACAAGTCATTGAGTTCCGAGTTCCAAGGGCCGAAACCCGAACCCCGAGACCCGAAAATATGTGCACAACATGTCCATTTTTCACTCACTGTACAAATCACTGAGTTTTGAGTGCTGAAACCCGAAACTCGAAACCCGGCATGCAACATGTTGATTTTTCATTTACATTACTCAAATCATCGAGTTCCGAGTGCCGAGGGCCGAGACCCAAAGCCCGAAACCCAAAATCATGTACACAACATGTCCATTTTTCACTCATTTCACAAATCACCAAGTGTCGAGTGTCAAAACCTGAAACCCGGTACTTCAAATGGACACAAATTGTATTTGTATGTATTATCCATTGGTGTAGGGCTCAAATAACCTGGGAATTGTATTTGTCAGTACTCGGTACTTGGGACTTGGGACTTGGGACTTGGGACTTGGTACTTGGTACTTGGCACTCAGTGATCAGTGGTCAGTGGTTGGTACTTGGGACTTGGTACTCGGTACTCA